GAAGTGAGGCCAGAGCTGACTAGGATGAGGGACAGAGACACAAGCAGTAAGGGGCCTCCTGCAACCCGTTAGGCTGGCCAAGAAATGTCGAGGGCTGAAGTCACAGACCCTTATTCCAAGTTTTTTTTCTTTGCATACTAAGGTGTGACCACTTTGTAGATGCTCCCACTGGTTACAGAGCCGTAAACATTTGAGGCTTTTTTTTTTTTTTTTGAGGGGGGGTGGCTCTTCTGGCTCATGTGATCCCCTCCAACTGTGCGCCTGCCCTCCCCCGCAACACACAGCAGGTGTTCAGCTTGCCTCCTCTGCCACAGAGACCTCAATGTTAGGTTCCCACGTGGCCCTTAGGCCAGAGCCTGCCAGAGACCTTAACTTTAGGCCCACATGTGGCCTTTAGGCCAGAGCCCTCGCTAAGGAAATGAAGCAAGTCCATGACTCTGCCTTGGGAGACAGCCAAGTACCTCAGGGTCAGGGTCCTCATCTGTGAAATGAGGGAGTTGGACTAGAGCCCGTGGAGGCCTGAGCTATCCCTTTCTCTGTGTAGAGCAGAAGGGGGAGTCTTGCTCGAGCACACAGGTGGGGCCAGGTGCAGCGAGACATGAGATCAGCAGAAATAAGAGGTTCTGAGATGGGACTTGGGTTTGTGTGAAGTCCAACCTCAAGCCCAACCCTGAGGTTAAGGGTACAATGGAACTAAGGGGATGTGGCAAAGGCCCCGAGCTGAGGACAGAAGGTAGCCTACCACATCAGATTCAAGAGGGCAGCTCCAAACTGCTATGATTGTAGCAAGGACATGCCTCCCAGCATGGAGGCAGTGAAGTACCTTCATGAATGCAAAATGAGATGGAGGGAAGCTGCAGGGTGCCCGCCCCCCCCAGGGTTATAGTAAGCTAGGAAGGGTCTTGCTTTGGGAACCTCCAGGGATGGCTGGTCTCTGCCTATACTCCTGCAGATTCAATCTCATGAGCTTTGATTCCACCCCTCCTGTCCCTACTTCTGTCCTGATCTAGTGCTGGGGGTGGTGATGTGTCTGGTATGGGCCTTCCCTCCTCCCAGGGTCAAGACTGCTAAACCTAAGCACCACAAACTAGCAAGCTGCCCGGGATGCATATCCTAGGTAGGCACGGCCAAGGCTGCAGTAGACGCCAGTTAGGAGAGGGTGTGGATCCAAGTGGCAGCTAGACTGGCTTAGGTGCCTCTAGGGCCTGGATGGTCCCCAAGATGCCCACGATTCATTTGGCTTCAGGCCTGTCCTGGTGGGTGTTTATTCCACCCATTGACGGTGTACAATGGGCAGGGATCCTGGCAATCCTGTCCAGGAAGGTCTCTGTACCGACACTAGGTCTCAGGTGGCTCTGCACATTCGGGGAGGCCTGTCACAGTTGTCAGGCTCAGTCAAGCTCCTCACTCCCAGTCAGGAGTAGAGGGACTTCTGTTCCCAGGCAGGGCCCCTGAGCTTCCAAAAGCCAATTTAAATTCCTTGGGATTCTTACCAAAAAAAAAAAAAAAAAAAAAATCACATTTCATCTAGAATGTTCATACCTGGACTAGAAGCTGAGAGCAAGGGGTCTGGGACCCGCAAGAGTCTACTGAGGCAAGATGCCACCTTTCCTAAATCTGAGGAACGGGGCAAGATGCCACCTTTCCTAAATCTGAGGAACGGGGTGCATATAACAAGAGTCTCTCTCTATGGAAACTGTTGTCACAGACTTCTCTGGAAGGGCAGTCAACGTGGGCAGGGTGGGTGGTACAGGCTCCTTTTTTTTTTTTTTTTGGAGTCAGGGTTTCTCTGTGTACCAGGTTGACCTTGAACTAAGAGATGACTCCCTGCCTGCCTCTAAAGTGCTGGGATTAAAGGCCACGTGCCACCACCACCTACCTGGCCAGGCTCTTTTTCTTCAGGAGACTCAAGCCAGCCCTGACAGAGTAATCTCAGCTAGGCCTCCCTTGCTAGAAGGCCCTCACACTAGGGAGCAGTGAGAAATTCCTTAGGGAGCAGAAATGGGCTCCTAAGCAGGGATTCTGCCCAGTCCCACCCATTGGGGTCCCTAGGTTTGGCAGGAAGTGTACCCCAAGAGATGTAAATCACATTGGACCTTTCTACCCTAACAAACATGAAAACAGACAAAGTACTCCATTCTCATGCATTCTCTAGGAACTACTGGGGAGTCGGGGGCTGTTTGCCTGAGAAGAACACAGGCAAAGAGTCTATCAATTTAATCCCCACCCTTCTCCTGCCTGAGCAACTCACTCTCCCATGAAAGCACATTGCCGTCCCATTTGCCACTGTGATTAAGAACACAGTTCGGGATTCCCGCCCAGAGCAGAGAACCTATTTCAGGATGCAACAACTGCTTGGGAAGTTCTGTATGACTGTTGGTCTGAGGCCCCAGTGAACCTCTTTTTGACGTAAGGCCACTATAGGAAAGCCTGGACGAAAGGACATCTAGACCACTGGTTTTGAGACAGCCAAACTGGCCAACTCCGACCCACCATCGCAGCCTGGGCTTCCATTCAATGTCCCCGCCCTGCACCAATTCCTCCGCAAGCCAAGGAAGCAGAAACTGAGGCAACCGTGGTCTCTAAACCATTTATTTCTCCCGATCGGAAGGTGGGCGTCGCCAGGGGTGGACGAAAACAGAACGCTGCGTGCAGCAAGGCTCCAAGAAACGGCGGCGCAGGTAAGTTAGGCCGGCACTCAAGCGAAGGTGGAGCCGTTCCAGCCCACGTTGGCCGCGCTCATGTCGTAATAATTGATGTAGATCCTGCGAGAATGAAAGCCTAGCTCAGCCTAACACGCGGTCTCGGCGAGCGTGGCGGCGCCCTCTGACCCCCGCGCCCACCTCCCAGCGCCCCTCACCCCACCCCACCCCCACGCACCGGTCCGGGCTGATGTGCAGGCGATCAGCCAGCAGGCCGCACAGCAGCTTGCTGTAGGTGCGGTTCTGCGCGCCGCCGATCTTGCCGATACTATGCAGGCTGCACAGGGCGCAGGGGTCGCTAGAGCCGCTAAAAGTCATGAGCTGGTCCGGGACCACGTGCACTGCGATGTACTGCGGGGGAGGGGTGGACGCGCGGTTAGCCCGCCTGAAAGACCACGGGGCCACAGGGCTCCGGGGAGCTCCAGCCTCCAGCCCTCCAGCCGCCCGCCGCGGTTCCCATCCCCATTCTTCCTCTGCCCGGCGGCCGGGCGCACGGGCCCTCCCTCCCCACTCTCTCTCTTCCTGTACCCTCCCTGCAAACCTGGGCCGGCTTGCCGGTGGCCTGCGCCAGCTGCTGGGTGAGCTCGGAGAGAAGCCCCTCTGGCACGGAGGCGCGGGGAACGTTGGTGTTCACGGTGAACATCGGCATGGTGGCGGAGGGGACTGCAAGCGGGGAGTAGAGGACAGTGCGACGCGGGATGTGGCCCAAGCCAGGGACCTGAGCTACGTGACCTAGTTCAGCACCGCCCCAAACCGGCTGCGGCTCCTCCCCTCGTCCCGCCTCCGCCTGCGTCAGGGTACGTCCTAAAGCGGGGACGTGACTGTGCTTCTGCTACGCTTGGTGTGCTTCTGCTCTTTGTTTTCTCGGATAGAAACGAAGAATGTATCATTTAGTAAATTAGGTAGCAAGGACTTGACTCTAGGATTAAGTTTGTGGAGGCATTTCAGGTAGACGCTGCAGATTAACGGTACACCGGGAGCAGGTTCAGGTCTGAGAAATTTCTGTTTCTGAGGAAACTTCAGCCCTTGATCGGTGCTGTAGGTAGTCATGTTGGCCTTATCTGGCCTGCCAATGGGCCAGAACCGACCGACTCTATTTAACTCCAAATAATGAACCAAAAGCGTGATGGTTTGTGCTTGGAGAAAGAACAATACTTGCCTTAGGAACTTCCTCTAAGCTAGTGAAATTGGCCGAGCCCCATTCCTTACTGTTTTGTACCAACAGTCAGACGTCGGTCCACTGGCTCAGTGCCACCTTCAACACAGCCACTTTCAACTAAGACTTTGTGTGTCCTGGGCCTCCCAGGACGTGTGTCCACACGACCTATGATCCTGCTCATGTAGGTCCTTCCTTGTAGATGGGGAAGGAGGCATAAAGGAGTCACCGTCCAGTTACTTGCCTGCATCCTTGCTGTTCCAACCAAGTGGGGATGCTTGGAGATCTCCAGGGGAGGCACAAGGAACTGGTTTTGAGCCAAAGGTACCAGTTCTGCTCCTCCTTAAGGTATAATCCTAAACTGGGCAACTGTCAGCCCTCAGGGAAGTGCTGCTCAAATTAGGTCCCAGCAATTACCCTCATTAAAGCCCTTGGTAGACTTTGTATAGCTTTCTCATGAACAAGCCAGACATCTGGCAGGTGCCCAGGAAATGTCACTGGGATCTTGGGTCTCCATGTGTTTTCCTAGCTTGCCTTTAAAAAAAAAAAAAAAAAAAAAAAAAAAAAAAAAAAAATCCAACCAGTCAAAAGGATGCTGTGTGGGCAATGACAGTTTTGTCTTGTGACTTCAAGGTTTATATGAGGTTCTATAACGGTTCTGGCAGAAATGAAGATATTCTAAAGAGACACTTGTGTCCCTCCGTTTGGCTACCAGACTATTGAAACAATGGTTCCCAAGGAAATGGAATTTCCTCAGGAGTCTCAGGCTGGGGGAAAAGAAAGACTGAAGGCAGGTGCAGCCAAAGGAGGAACTTGTCTCCCTGGAAGAGATTTCACACAGCTCTGGAAGCTTGTCAGACCACCCTGCAGAAGGGACTGGAGCTGAGACAATGCAGCTAGGAGGACTGCGCCCTGACTAGGATTGCTTAGCTATGCATTCTTCATACTCTTTATTTAAGTTTCCTATCACAGGGCCAGAAGATGAACTTGAGGCGAGGGTCACTGGATGTCTTAGTTAGTTAGGGTCTCTATTGCTGTGAAGAGACACCATGACCACGACAACTCTTATGGCTTACAGTTCAGAGGTTTAGCCCGTTCTTGTCATGGCAGGGAACATGGTGGCAGGCAGGCAGGCAGGCAGGCATGGCACTGGAGCAGGAGCTGAGAGTTCTACATCTGGAATTCTACATTCTGGAAGCAGGAAGAGAACTGGCTTGTGCTTCTGAGACCTCACAACCCACCCCCTAGTGATGCACCTCCTCCAAAGCCACACCTACTCAACAAGACATATATATCTATCTAGAAGCTTTATTAGTGCTCTTCACCAAGAGGCCTGAAGGAGCACTTTCATCCCTCTCCAGACTTCATTGTTATAGCAGCCACTCATGCTTTACCATCAACTTTGACTCATTTCTTTCTTATTTTTTTTAAGGTCACACTTCTTAATAGTGCCACTCCCAGCGGGCCTATGGGGGTCATTTTCTTTCAAACCACCACACTGGACTTCTATTTGTTCTTTCCAATGTGGCCACATTGAAATAAATCTCCTTTTCTGCTTTTCATTATTGTCTCTTTAGTTAGACTAAATGAGGATGTGTGCCCAAGGGTATGGTGTCAGGACTGCCAGAGCCCAGGATCTGACCCTCTAAAGTTCCAGGAGCATTGATGGTAAAACAGACAAGTCTGAGACCGACTAGAGCCAAAGGTTTCCTCATTCCAAGGTTACTATCTGGACTCTGGTCCAGGGGGTCTTTGATCTTAGGCTCTCCTGTGCTCTTAGGAAGACACTTGATATTTGGGTAATTTTGACTTGTTAGCAGTTATATGCCAGTGGGAGATCTTGGTAAGACAGAATTTTCTTGGGGGAAACGCCTTTTATTCTCTCTCTGGTAGCTTTAGCCTCTTGTTTCTTCTGTTTGTCCTTTAGATATTGGTTACAGAATTTGCTATACTTTTTGTTTGTTTGGTTTTGGTTTGTTGAGATAGGGTTTATCTGAGTAACTCTGGCTGTCCTGGAACTTGCTCTATAGACCAGGCTGCCTCAGACTCACAGAGATCTGCCTGTCTCTACCTCCCAAGTGCTGGGATTAAAGGTTTGTGCCACCACTGCCCAGCTAGAATTTGCTATACTTAACAGGCTATGGATACTAGGTTTTGGGCTAAGGGCTCATTGCTAATTGCCATGGCAGCCTTTTTCTCATGGCTTCCTATATCAGAACTGACAAGTGCCCTACTGGGAGCCTATCTATGATTCTATAACCTCTTAACTTCCCAGGTGCCTGGATTCCAGAGGAATAGCAAGTACCATGATTCTCAAGTTCCCAAGGCAGTTTACAGGCCAGGATACCAGATTCCAAGACATCAAAAGGCAGGCTGCCAGGGACAGCTCATCACCCACCCACATAATGGAGATAAACCTTTACTAAATGTACCTTTCCTTCCCCATAATTTTCAGGGCAACACACTCCTTCTCCCTGAGAATCAACAGCCTGACTACAGGCCTGTGTGTGGACTACCCAACTGTATGGCGTGCAACCTACCACCTCTTCTGAAAACTATAAGAAGGGAATCCCTCACCCTCCCCTGTGTAGAGCTGAACACTCCTCAGATTTCCCATGCTGTTGTCTATGGCATTAATAACTCTATAACCCAATCTGCTTCATTGCCCCCCTTGAATCCCAAACCCAGTAACTTTCTCCTCCCTTCCAAAGTTATGTATATTAATGTTTTTCTTGCATGTATGTATTCTCACCACATGTGTGCCTAGTAGTCTGAGGTCACAAGTGGGCATCGGATCACTGTAACTGGAGTTGCTGACGGTTGTGAACCAGCATGTGGGAGCTGAGAATTGAACCCAGGTGCTCAACAAAAGCAACAAGTGCTCTAAAAACACTAAGCCATGTCTCCAGCCCCCAAAGGATTTTCAATCAATGGAATTGTTGGATTCCAGTGACAATTTTTTTGCAATTTACTTTTGAAGTCAGGAAAGGAATCTGTCCCAGAGAAGGGTTTCACATTGAAAGGAAGGATAAGGCCGGGCGTTGGTGGCACACACCTTTAATCCCAGCACTGGGGAGGCAGAGGCAGGTGGATCTCTGAGTTCAAGACCAGCCTGGTCTACAAGAGCTAGTTCCAGGACAGCCTCCAAAGCCACAGAGAAACCCTGTCTCAAAAAAAGGATAAGATATACTTTGGGGGGGCCTGAGAAATGGCTCAGAGGTCAAGAGCACTGACTGCTCTTCCAAAAGTCAATTGCTGGCAACCACATGGTGGCTCACAACCATCTATAATGGAATCTGGTGCCCTCTTCTGGCCTGCAGGCATACATGCAGATAGAATACTGTATACATAATAAATCTTAAAAAAAATATATATACTTTTGGGAAATGGTTACTTATCACCAAGCCTGACAACCTGAGTTCCATTCCCAGAACCCACATGATCAAGAGTTGTCTTCTAACCATGGCATGTGTGTGTGTGGCGTGGGGGTGAGGGGGTGGGGGAGCACTTGTGTACCAACCACTAAATAAAAGGTTCCTAAAGTGTACTTTTGCATATCTTAAAAGTTCCCCCTCAAAGCCCAACTAGTACCAAATAAGTGTCTCAAAACACAGGGACTCACCAATGGGTGTGGTAGTACCACCTCAATCTGACCCCAACACATGACAAAAGAGATGCTTGGAAAAGACTCTATGACCAACAGCCAAATCACAAACACTTTTGAAAAGGGCACATAGGTTAGGTTAGCACAGATGCAGTTCCTGCAGCCCAAGCAGAGCAGGAGTGAGACCTGGGGGAGGCAATTGGCTCAGAGGTAGGGCACTTGCTGTACCTGCCTAGAGACCGGAGTTCAGTACCTGGAGCCCATATATATGTGGAAGGACAGGCATGAGTCCATAACGCTATGCTCTGACCTGCATACATGTGCTGTGACATCTGTGTGCGCACAGTCACAAGTGACTCAAGCCGGGCACACGCCTTTAATCCCAGCATGTCCTATTGTTACATGCCTTGGGTGAGACAAAGAGTTGAGTCCTGGCACACTGCCCATCAGGGCCAGCCTGCCGTTTCCTGGATGCAGTCTTGTTCCTGGGCTGTAGTCTGCTCATACTTTCAGTTACCAGTAAATCTCATTCCTGGGTGCTCTGTTAGGTCCTACATGTGCCTTACATTTACCTGTCCTTGTAATCTGTCCCTGTGTGAGCTAAAGCTTCCTGTTTAAACAGGCAGAAAGCCCCTCTGTGGTGGCACTGTGTGCCTGCCTCCTTGATCCTTCACATCAGACAGATGATCCCCAGGGTCATTCATACCTCAATCCTAGAACCTATGCCTATGCGGTGCTCCATGGCAAGAGGCTCTCCACCTACATAATTAGGGGTGTAGACCCGCCTTAAAGGGCGGTGATCATGGAGTGGCTAGGTGGGCCAGTCTAGTTACATGACCCTTGAAACCAGAGAGTTTCTTCCAGTCAGCTGTGACAGATGTCAGATTCAAAAGAGAAGGGGAAATGACTGGGGTTGGGGTGGGGGTGGGCAGAGACCTGTTATACCACCTACAGGAATGGAAATCTGTCAACCACCCAAAGTTCAAAGTGAATTCCTCCTTAGTGACCTCAGGCACCATGATTCAATCATGAGGGTTTACTCTGAAGAGCCCTGATGCACAGCAACTGTGATAACACATGGGTGTGGTTTTAAGATGCTGACTCTAGGGGCTGGAGAGATGTCTCAGAGGATAAGAGCACTGCCTCTTCTTCCAGAGGTCCTGAGTTCAATTCCCAGCAACCACATGGTGGCTCACAACCATCTGTAATGAGATCTAGTGCCCTCTCTGACCTGCAGGCCCTACATGTAGGCAGAACACTGTATACATAATCTTTAAAAAGCAAAAACAACAAAGATGCTGACTCTAGGATGATACAGTGGGCAAATTTTAGTAGAACTCTGCCATTATTAGACTCAAATAATGCTTCCAAGGGACATGCCCCAAGAGGAATCGGCAGATGTAGCTGCTGGCCTGCCCTTCGGGCTCACTGACAAGCATCCAGGACCTATCCACTTAGGTCATTGACTGTCCCAGTGTATTGTACAGCATCTGAGGGTTATGGGCAAGTTGCTGACCTTGCCATGCAGGCACCATTGTGTTCCCCACCTTTACTCTCCTCTCTGCCTGGAAACTGCACATGGTCTTGGAATGCATAGCAGGCATCAAGGAGCCATTAGCTGGTGAGTGGAATAGAAAATAGTTTGATGCAGACAATCACAGGCCAAAGAGCTTTCCATTCAGATTTCCATTCCTGGAGGTGGTATAACAGGTCTCTGCCCACCCCACCCCCTATCTGCAGAGCCAACAACAAATGTTATTTCTCCAGAGTGCTTGCACAGGAGGACCGGTAGAGGGTTGATTCACACTAACAAAAGCTGTGGACAGCTCGAAGCTCCCAGTCACGATGATGGCATACTGGACTTTCTTGGCCAGCATTCCTGCCCCCCACTGGAACACCAGGGAAGCAGAGGCACACTGGGTCAATGGAGGGGCAGCTCTGAGGTACTGGCTCCCTAAAACCTCATGACTCCCAGCCAGTGAAAGTCTCACCTGTGCTGGGATCAGGGACCTGACTGACTCATTCCTACAGAGCTCCTTTGCACTGCTCAGCATCACAAGGCTGGTCACGGCCTCTGCAGGGTACAATCCTGGAGCAGCTCCTATGGGCACCGCACCTGGTAGTCCTGGCACACAGCCTTCTCTCTTCCATCCCTTCCGGCTCCCTACCCAAGTCCCTCAGAAGTGCTATAGGGCTGGGGTAAGCTGGGGAGGAGGTGTGGAGCCTCCTCCAGGCTGAGCTCTGGACTCCACCCCAAGATCTCCCTATCTCCCTCCCCCTCGGCCTCTCCCTTTGAATGATACCCACGTCTGTTTCTGCTACATTTCTGAATGCACAAAGACTTCTAGTTTCAGAGCCCGGTTCCTTGTGTCAATAACAGCATAAAATAGGTCAGGTGTGGCCAGGCATTGGTGGCGCACACCTTTAATCCCAACACTCAGGTGGCAGAGGCAGGCGGATCTCTGAGTTCGAGGCCAGCCTGGTCTCCAAAGGGAGTGCCAGGATAGGCTCCAAAGCTACACAGAGAAACCCTGTCTCGGGGGAAAAAAAAAAGTCAAGTGTGGTGGCACATGTCTTAAATCTCAGGACTCTGGAGACTGAGGCAGGTGGAATTCTGTAGGTGCCAAGTCAACCAGGGCTATAGTGAAACTGTCAAAAAGAGAAGGGAGAGAGGAAGGGAGGCAGAGAGGAAGAGAAAGGTTTACACAGCATTAACTAATGTAATCTTCTAATCCAGGACTTGTGGTGACACTTTGGGGCTTCTGGTGGGACTGAACACACTCTGCACATGGTAGAGACACTCGTTTACTGGATGATAGTGGGACTGAACACACTGCACACAGCAGAGACATGCATGATAACGGGATGATGGCCAGCGGGGTGGAGCACCTTCATAGATCCACCTAATTGGATGTGTGTGACTTTGACTTTCCAACTCCTACCTTTGGACTCAGCAGCAGGAGTCCTTTGGCCAATGGTTAGTGAGCGAAAGGTTGAGAAAGCACTGTGCTCTGGGTGTGTATTCTCTCACCTCTGCCACCACCACACAAGAACATTTCCAGGCCAAGTCATTTGAATCACAAGGGACAAGGAGATGTTTCTGTATTACTGACTCGTCCCAGCCCAGCCTTGACTGGCCGTGACCCCTAGTGCCATGAATACAGAGCTGACATCAGCAGATCATAGAGCCAGCCCTGGTAAATGGGTAAAAGACATGGCAAATGATTGTTTTTAAGCCAGGGTTTTTGGGATGCCTGTAATCCCAGTGTTCAAGAGGCTGAGGCAGGAGGATGATGACTCCATGGACAAGCTGGGCTACAGAGCAATACCCTGCCAAAATACAAAGAATCCAGAGCAACTGCAGGCAAGTGCAGTCTTGAAGTGTGTGTGTGTGTGTGTGTGTGTGTGTGTGTGTGTGTGTGTGTGTGTGTGTGTGCTCTCGCGAGTGCGCACATGCTCCAGCTGGAGCGCTTTTCTCATTATCTCCTGGTTAGAAGAAGCTGGGTCTGATCCATCCCACTGCCCTATGATGTACACTATTTTCTTTTTTAAAAAAGTATTTAACCTTTTTATATGCATTGGGGTGAAGGTATTAGATCCCTTGAAACTAGAGTTACAGACAGTTGTGAGCTGCCATGTGGTTGCTGGGAATTGAACCCAAGTCATCTGGAAGAACAGTCAGTGCTCTTAACCACTGAGCCATGTCTCCACCCCCCTAGTATTTTCTTAAAACATTTTGAAGGGATGGATCCATAGATCATGGAGTTAAAATGAAATGAACAGCTTTCTCTCCCTCCCTTCCTCCCTCTCTCTCTCCCTTTCTTTTCTTGAGACAGCATCTCATTATGTAGCCCTGGCTGTCCTGGAACTCACTATGCAGACCAGACTAATCTCAACTCACAGAGATGCAGCTGCTTCTGCCTCCCAAGTGCTGGGATAAAAAGATGTAACACCACACCCAGCCCAGCCTTTTCTTTGTAATAATAATAATAATAATAATAATAATAAATAACTGAAGAAATGAGGACCCACAGCCTCTGGTGACAGATACCTCTAGCTTAAGGGTGGCTTGGGAATCCAAACTCACCTGCCTGCCAGGCTTCAGTGTTTCCAAGGTCAGTGAGGGACGAGGTGTAGAAACAAGATTAGAGAGGTGCTCCAGGTACCAGGCAGCTGGTTAACAGCAGAGGGGGCCACCCACGAGCTCCTTAGAGAGACAGAAGACAGGACAGGCAGTGTGATACCTCCTTATCATAGTGTTACCAGCTCCTCACAAGTCCCCTGCCACAGGGCCTCCTTGCTCACAGAGGGTCACAAAGTCCTATGCTTCTGCCTACCCAGTATCAGCATTCCTTCAATGCTGCAATTCCTGCAGCTGGACACTGCAGTAGGGCAGGTCACTGCCTTCCTCATCCCCAGTAACTCTCCTCCCCAGGGGTCCTGTTCTCCCCCCCCCACCATGGGATTATCAGGATATACTGCCCTTTAAAAGTTCCCATCTTTATTCTCCTCTCTGAGGAGACCTATATTTCATTCCCAGTCCCAGGAGAAGGTGATTTACATGCCACCTGGTTGATTAGTGTCCTTTTTCGGTTTTGTTTTTTAGAGACAGGGTTTCTCTGTGTGGCTTTGGAGGCGGTCCTGGAACTGGTCTGTAGACCAGCCTGGCCTCAAATGCACACAGACCCACCTGCCTCCCAAGTGCTGAGATTAAAGATGTGCGCCACCACTACTCGGCTTTTTATATTGGACACATTGATGTATTCAGGCTTCTAATTGCTTTGTGCAAAACAACAAAAACCAATGCCTTAATTCACTTGGAAGGTAGGTGAGAATTTTAGGGAAAGAAGAATTTTATTGGGGCTGGAGAGATGGCTTTCACTTCCAGTGAAAGATCCCTGGAGGCTCAGGCCCCCAGGATTCCGGCCCAGGACCGCAATGAAGATGCAAACAGCACAAGGCTTTATTGCAGTTGTTTAACGAGCTAACCCCATGTTAGCTCGGGCCTTTCATCCATCCACCATGGCAGATGGCTAGGAAAGACACCGAGAAGTCAGCATAAGGGGACTGTTTAGGGGTACCCACAGGCTCAGGATTGGTGTGCCTCCAGGCTTGCCCTGTGTTGATTGGTCAACTGGTTGTTATGGCCCATAGGCCATCCCAGGGCGATTGCTATGCTCTGTGAGTCATTGCTGTGCACTTGTCCGTAAAGCACACCCAGAGCCTAAAGCATAGCACCACCAGCTAACTTCTGATTGGTTCCTTGCCACGAGGCCGGCATCTGACCTCTTAGTGACCAGGGCAAGGTCAGAAAAGCACGTGTTAGGCTGTTATGGCTGCTGAAATGGGGAGCTTATCCCTTCACCAGAAGCAGTAGTGGAACTTTTTATAAGCTCATTGCCATTAGTATTTCTCTACAGCAACAGAAAGCTGACTCTTGCAGTCTCTGGGAGATGGGTTGGGAAGAGACGGGCAGGACCACGTCCTGGATGCTCACCACTGTCCAGGCTCTTGTGACTACCACAGCTGCAGATTCTCATCTCATGACACTCCCCCAGGTGGCACATGACACCTACATAGCCTGTGAGGAAACAGGACTGGAAAGTACCAGGACAAATGGCAAAAGCTGAAGGTCATAGGGTTTGGTTAGGCAAGGTCTTAGACTGGATTCAGGGAGAGGGTAAGCAGACAGATCTCTCAGAACCTAGCCCCATGCCTCTGTGTTTGTGCTCACCAGAGCCTCTGGCCAATGGCAGGAGCGATTACATAATCACACAGGCTGGCCAACTCTCTCTCACCCTCTCTCTCTCTCTCTCTCTCTCTGTGCATGGCATTCATCTGCCTTTCTCCGAGTCTGCTCAGTCCATTCATAAAGAGAGCTGGAGGGGTAACAAGAACAGAAGATGCACACGGATTCTACAACAGGGGCTGCCTAACGATCCCACTAGCCTACATAACTGTGTCAAGCAACTTTCTGTTACTGTGGTCATATACCCGAAAGAATCAACTTGAGAGCAGGCTCTAGTTAACTACTGCAGAGAAGGAGAGCTGTGCTGGCTCCCTGCCACTGGGGATGAGACAGCAAGCTGATGCCATTGAAATAGGCACAGGTGCAGCACTGGAATTTTCCATGTCTTTTTCCTTCCTTCATCCAGGGAAAGAATGCCAGTATCAGTAAACTTCAGACAACAACTACTGCCTCCTTCCTTTTTACAGGATGCACCCCACCTTTGTTTGGAACTGTACTCCCACGTGGTTTAGATGTGTGCCCCGATAATGCAACCCATCACTGGGGGAGTCCTAATCACTATGCTAGCACTATGCTTTAAATATCTGTGTCCTTAGAAAAATTCATGTTGAAACCAAATCCCCAGTGTAATGGTGTGAGTAAGTGGGGTCTTCAAGAGCACAACGTAAGCCTTGGGGGGGGGGGCTCAGCTTCATTGATAGAAAAGGGCTGGAGGCAATTAGAAAGATCCTTTTTGCCATTTGCTAATTTATTTGGTGTTGGGGGGATTAACCTAGGGCTCGATGCACACTAGTCACAGGCTGTGCTACTGAGCTGGATCCCAACCTGTCTGTGTCTGTTGCTGTGTCAGCCTCCACCATGTGAAGACCCAGTAGTCACCCTTCCTGCCATTTGAGCACACGGCCATCAGGCACCATCTTAGAAGCAGAAAGGGTAGTCCTTACCAAGCACCGAATCTGCTAGTGCCTTGATTTTGTAATCTTAGCCTCTAGAACCATGAGCAAACAAATGCATGCTCTTTACAAAAATCCCTCCTCCTCCTCTTCTCCTTTCCCTTCTCCTCCTCCTTCATATAACGGCCCTGTGTAACAGCCCTGGCTGTCTGGGAACTTGTTTTGTAGACCAGGCTGGCCTTGAACTCACAGAAATCCACCTGCCTCTGCTGGGATTAAAGGTATTCGGCAATATCCTAACTCTTAAGTATTTGGTTCTAGCATCATGGTGGGTGATCTGAATGAGCCACATCCCCCACAGGCTCATGTATTCAAATACTTGGTGGTGTGGTTTGGAGAAACTATGGAACTTGGCTTTTAGCATTCCTCCACCCCTGTTTTATAAGGTATCTCAGTCTTTCCAGTTATAATAATTTATTGTACTTTATTTTTAAATGTTATGTGTATGGAACAAGGATCAGAAACCCTTTTCACCACAATGGTGCAGAGGCCAAGATGGAAGCCCCTGCCCATCCCAAAGCTAAAGCCAAGAAGGTGATGCTGAGAGGCATCCCTAGTCCCCGAATATTTGCACTTCCTTCCTTTGGCTCTGGAGGCAGCACAAACCCCCTCTCAAGAGCATGCCCAGAGAAACAAGCTTGACCATTACAATGGTCATCAAGTGGCCCACACCACCACCACCACCACCACCACCACCACCACCACCACCACCACCCCCCCCACCACCCCCCAGTCAGCCATGAAGAAGACTCAAGACAACAACACACTTGTGCTCATTGTGTGCATCAGGGCAGACAAGGACAGGATCGAAAAGGTTGTGAAGAAACTCTATGACACTGAGGTGGCCAAAAGCTTTTGTTCAGCTGGCATCTGGATGCTATGCTATCAATGTTGCTAACAAAATTGGGATCATCTAATTAGCCAGTCTAGCCGTCTAAATATATATGGGTGTTTAGCCTGCATGTATGTCTGTGTACCATGGTGGGCTTGGTGCCCTTTGGAGGCCAGAAGAGGCTGTCAGATTCCCCTAGAACTGAAGTTACAAAAGGTTGTCAGCCACTATGTGAGTGCTGGGAATCAAACCCAGGTCCTCTGCAAGAGCAGCCAGTGCTCTTAACGGCTGAGTTTCTCTCCAGCTGCAGTTGTAATACATTTTATTATGTCAGAATCAGCTCTGTTGCTTGCAAACCAAGAACTACATCACTAACACAGAGGACACACACACACACACACACACACACACACACACACTCTGCTAGAATAACATAAGATTCAAAAAGGCAATTTCCTTTTGTTTCCTGGCTTATTATAAAGACACAAATCAGGAATGGCCAGATGAAAGAGATGCATGAAGCAAGAAGGGGCTGGTGTCTGAAGCTTCCATCTTCTCTCTGGTGGTGTGCCTGGGAAGGGCACACCACCTTCCCAGCACCTCACGTTCTCACAAACCTAAAAGCTCATTAAATCTCATTATCCAAACAAACAAAACCTTCCCTACTCTCCTCTCCTTTCTCCTCCCCCTGGGGTGGGGTAGGATTTAAGAAAATTATCTAATTATATACCCCACACTGGTCTTGGAATCTCAGTCCTAACTCATCCGCCTCAAGAGTTGTTTTCTGATTTTTAAAAACAGGGCTTAACGTTCAGTTTCCTGTCCTTCCTAGGGGCCGGGGGTGGGGAAATTCTGACCCACATCACTTGGCTTTTCTGGTGACTGGTTCCATTCCGTGGCTGCCGAGGGTTTCCAGTCCTCACTCACATCACCAGTGTCAAGTCAAGCATGATCAGAATGGATCATTCCAAATAACAAGAAGTGGTCCTGGCACTCAGGAAACTCCAAGGGTTTTAAACAGCCTGGTGTCAGGAACCAGGAGCAAGCACCAAATACAGTTCCAGTTACACGTCCTCCAAGTCCACCACTTGGTGTCCCCATCCTGCCTTTGCCTTGGGAATCACCTTGTCCAGTCTCTTGCTGACTGGCTTTCCATTGGTTCTGGGCAAGGGGGAATGAAACAATGTTCTTCTCATGGGACCTTTGTCACTTGGCAGTCAGGTGATAAGACTGGTTAGTTTTCCTCCTTTAGTCTCACTTAACCCTTTGTGAATTGTCCCTTGTGGTACCTAAACTGACTTGATGCATCTTGAGGTTCTATGAGGCTCTGTCTGAGCAAGCTCTGAGGAGTGTTACTCCCTTGTAGTCATGGGTTCTGAATCTGTGAGTTCCCAACAAGCTGTAGATTGGAATACTAGAGAAAGAAATCATCTGCGTGCTGAACATGAACAATTTCTATAAGAGCTATCCACACAACACTTACATTGTTATTAGGGTCTTATAATTTTATAAGTAACCTAATGACGATTGAAAGTCTACAAGAAAATGCACCTAGATTCCATGCAAAAATCATACCACTTTATAAGGGACTGACTAGAGCATGTACGAGGTTCAGGGCTCACACAATGTCCTGAAGGCAATCTCCTGTGGATACGTGAGGACAGCTGCATTTTATCAGAGTATTACTTCATTACTTTCCTCTCTGTTCAGACTGAGAGTTGGGCTCAGAGAGATAAAATGACTTGGTATGGCCCAGGCACAGGCCAGGTGCCATACAGGTAGTTCAGCTTCCATAGAGTGCCACACCCCAGAACTGCCACTTCATGCTTGTGACTGGAAGCCATGAGGTTAGGAAAGACTGTGCATGGAGAAAACCTAAACATCCTTTTGGTTAGAGATGAAGTAATAATCTTGGGCTTCCCTACAAGGAGTGGTGAAGGGTGGGGATTCAGGTGTAGGGCCAGCCTCTCCTCTAGTGGTCCCTATACCTGTTTCAGGGTTCCCCTTGATGCTTATTGATGCTTTAATGGCTGCCCCTGATTTTTTTCATTTATTTACTTTAATAGAATATTTTCTTTTTTGAGAGGGGGATGGTTCGAGACAGAGTTTCTCTGTGTAGCTTTGGGACCTGTCCTGGAAGTCGCTCTGTAGAACAGGCTGGCCTCAACCTCACAGAGATCTGCCTGCCTCTGCCTACCGAGTGCTGGGATTCAAGGCATGCACCACCACCACCACGACCACCCGGCAGAATATTTTCTTTAACGGCATCCAAAAGATCAGGGAAAGCCTTGGCACTCAAGAGAGTCTCAATGCTGAGAGCCAGTGATGGTTCATGAGAGGCAAGTGTAGAATCTGATTGGCCCGCCATGGAGAGATCCCTCCTCAATCTGTTGAGTCTACAGTAAAGCTGGCATGCAAGTAAATGCCTGTGGGAAGAGAGAGTAAATAGATGGTGGCACCCTGTGATCCTAGTAGCACTGTGGACCTGGGGAGGCAAAAGGCAAGAGAGGAGGCAAGAGGACATGAGCTCAAGACAGTTTGGATACACAGCAAGGCCCTGTATCAAAACACCTCAAACAGGCTGGATGTGGTGGTGCACACTTGGGGTTGGGGAATGGAGGCAGCTGGAGGATCAGGAGTTCAAGTCTTCCCCTGCTACTTAAAGATCAAGGTCAGCCTGGGCTACATGATATTCTCTGCCTCAAACAACTCATCTTGATCAGAGGCCATATGGGTGACTGGGTCTATCCTCCATCTAGTCCTTCCGGTGCCCAGCAGAGCATGAGGGGCCATGGCATCAGGGGAGCTGCACCATACTGCTAGGCCCCTCCACTCATCAAAATCAATACACAATTTCATTATAGCCACACAAACGAGACTTACATACATTGGCAAATGGGACTGGCAAGTTAAATTCACAACAACATAGCCGCAATTGAGCCCTCAACAGTTTCCACCTCACTAAATGAGCAGTTTTGTTCTGACAATGCCAAGTGTTGGGGACATGACAGGGAACCTCCAAAAGGATAGGGAGGGGGTGCACTCTTGTGAAAGATTCTATGAGAGACCAGATGGAGATTTGGGAGTTAAAACCTTGCAAACCCAGAGCCAAATTAGCTTGGGCTCTTTTAGTCCCTCTGAAAGCCTTCATTATCTACTCCGTGTCTGACCTAACATCTTAAAATGTGTTCTTGGCAGACCACTAGCCTTCAACAACACAAAACCTTAGACTGTTACCAGCTACTATCAGGAGCCTACCGTAGGATTTTCCCCACTTTGCTATAACCCCCCCCCCTGACCTGTAGCCCTCACCACAGTAAGTTCTTTGATCTATTATTTTCTTTGTTCTGCAACTAATAAGTCTCCTATAACCATGCCCATAGTTTAACATGGTATTTGTACTCAGATGTGGCTGTATAATAAACCACCCCCAATTCCCTGTGCGGTGGGGACTGTGGTTTTGTGTCAACAGTGGTGACTGGCTGGAATTACTGCTTTTCTACTGACCATGAAAACATAAGTTGGCACAGCCACACAAGAGAGAAGTTTGAGTGTTGGCAAATAGCTCTGGCAAATAGCAACGCCAGCAGGTCTCTGGTTTGCCTTGGAGAAACTGTGAGTCCTATGTTCACAAACTCTTCACAAATGCAGCATTGTTTTCGGCACAGGAAAACTGGAAACAACTTAGATGTCACCAATCAAGAAAACAGAGGACAAATAAATCTTGGTGTACGACAGTATACCCTAACCCTGCTGGGCTACAGGGGGAGTATGGGCAAGGGGAACACCATCATACTGCCGTATGCAGAAATCAATGTCATTTGAAGGGACATTAAAGTTGGAAGGCGGGTATGGTGGCACACACCTGTAAGCCTGAGCATCGGAGAGTGGAGGCAAGAGTTCAAGGTCGGCCCAGACTATATGAGACCTTGGTTCACAAAACAGTCAAAGAAAAACTTGAAGAGGAGGTTGGGGGAGGAGGCGGGAAACAGCAACATCACCCTACATTACTGTATGAATTGCATTATTGTAAGAATCCACACACATGAAGCGAAAGAAAGCTCCAGAGGAGCAGGCAGGAACAGCTGTCACATTCCCTTGTGTCCATCACTGCTACAGGGATAGCTGGTTTCTTTGGTTCTCCCTGAGATGTTTCTGGGACACTGGGAACCCAGCCCACAGTGTCTGGGGTCTGTTGTGTGCAAGTCCTCTTTCTTCAACCTCTCACTGGGACATGCAAGGTTCAGCCTCAGCATCATTAACTGATAGGGATGTTGGAGTCACATCTGTCTTTTCAGCAACCTGTTCTTTGACCTCAACCAACAAGCCATAACATGTGTATACATAGGCACATTAATAATAAAAATTAATTGATTGATTAAATAGGCTGATGAGATTGCTCAGCGGGTTGCCATGCAAGCCTAATGGCCTGGGTTCGATCCCCAGAACTGCTAACGGAAGGACAGGACTGGTTCTAGAAAGTTGTTTTCTTACATGTGCACCATGGCTCATGCACTTGCTATGTGAGAATGCTAACAAACACTCCCATTCAACCTGTCTGACAGGAACACTCACAAACTATGGTCCTTAGTGAGGGAATAGCTAACAACCAGCTCCACACAGACCAGCAGCTGGGGGCCAGACCAAAGGGGAGGTCCAGGCTCCAGAAAGTTTGCCAACCTGAGGAAGCAGAATGGTCAGTTGGGCACAAAGGCCTACTGGTGCATGGCACAGATTTTGGCGACTCCTCTCGTGAAAATGGATGTTCTTAGGGTCCAACATTGGGTACCAAAGTTGTCAAAGCATAACTCTCACCCCAAAGGGAGTGAGGGATTACTATAAATAACCATGATTTGGGAACATAGATTTAGTTTTCATGGAGTATGTTGCTGTTCCGTATGTGGCCAGGAGGTGGTGTCACATGCCTTTAATCCCAGCATTCGGAGTGTTGGGGGTGGGGGGTGGGGAGGATATCTCTGAGTTCCAGGGCAAACAGGGCTACACAGAGA